CTCAAAAAAAAAAGTCCTTCAACCACCTTCTTAGTGAAAAGAGAGTCAGCCTCTTCAATCTATGTTAACAGTTACAACCTCTCAGTTCTGGTATCATCCTTGTAAATCTCTTTTGCACCAGACCCAGTATCTCTGCAATTTTATTTCACAACATGGAGACTATTCCGTGTCATAATTGCTGCTGCCTTCTCACAAAATTAGCCAGTGAACCTGTTAAAACAGACTGAGAAGGACATGGTGGAGGACTTTTGTCATTGGAGTCACAGTCCAAAGGACCAGGTGACCTGGGTTCAAATCACAAGGATTTGAGTTTGAATGGAATTAAAACATTGTTGTGAAAATCCACCTGGTTTCATTAATGTCCTTTAGGGAAGGAAATCTGCCGTCTTTAACTGGTCTGGCCTACATGTGACTCCAGACCCACGGCAAAGTGGCGGACTTGTAACTGCCCTCTGGGTAATTAGGGTTGGGCATTAAATGCTGGGTCTAGCTAGCGATGCCCTCATCCCATCAATGAATAAGAAAAAAAGCCAATTTGCACACAGCAACATCCCATAAACAACACAGCAACCAGACCATCTGTTTGGAAGATATTGGTTGAGGGATAAATATCAGCTGGGAGACCCGAGTGAATTCCCAGCTCTTCTTCCAGATGGTGCCAGCCGAAAAGGGCAGTCAGGATGTCAAATCCCAGTGGAGAGATGGCGTGTCCGACTATGTGCGGTGAGCGTCAGCTCAGGTCTCTGGGCTGCAACTTGACACCAACTAAAGCTGAGAACCCCACCCTCAGAGTTGGCACAGTGTCTCCCGTTAGAATCACCAAATCCTGAGCAGGGGAAAAATTTATAGGCAGGGAGAAATTGAGACGAGAAGAAATACTCTGTAATCTGCACCTTAAGGTAGGAACTGGCATCGGTTCTCCTTTCATGCAAGTAATTACGACTCCTGATTAGATCAATTAAACTTAATAATCATCTCAGATCACATCAATTTCTAAAATGATATTTTAAAAAGGTCGGAACTCAAAAAACTGAAATGCAATTTTTCTCTTCAGGTTCTGCCTGCCTCTCTTAGGAAGGATGTGAACATATTGGAGACAGTGCAGTAAAGATGAATGACAATAATTGCTGGGATGAGGAACTTCAGTTGTGAGGATAGATAAGACCATAAGATATAGGGGCAGATTTGGACCTATTGAGTCTGCTCCACCATTCGATCGTGGCTGATATCTTTCTCAACCCCATTATCCTACCTTCCCCCTGTAACCCTTGACCCCTTATTAATCAAGAACCTATCCATCTCCATCTTAGAGGCACTCAATGACTTGGCCTCCAACAGCCCACCGTGGCATTGAGTTCCACAGATTCACCACCCTCTGGCTGAAGAAATTCCTCCTCATCTCAGCTCTAACGGGTCAACCCTTCACTCTAAGGCTGTGCCCACCAGGTCCTGCTCTCTTCTACCCATGGAAACATCTTCTCCACGTCCCCTCTATCTGGACCTCTCAGATTGAAGAATTCAGAATTGTTTTCCTTTGTGAAGACTGGGAGAAGATTTGATAGAGGTGCTCAAAATTCTGGGGGACCTGGAGAGAGTGAATATGGAGAAATTGTTCCCACTTGGGATCAAGAATGAGTAGTCACAGATTTAATGTAATTGGTAACAGAAGTAGAAGCGACACAAGGAAAAACATCTCCACTCAACAAGATACCAAGGTGTAAAGCTGGATGAACACAGCAGGCCAAGCAGCATCAGAGGAGCAGGAAGGCTGACGTTTTGGGTCTGGACCCACGCAACGAGTAGTTAGGGTTTGGAATGCAATGCCTGAGTCTATGGTGGAGGCAAGTTGAAACAAGGCTTTCAAAAGCAAATTAGACCGTTGTATTGAAAGGAGGAATATGCAAGATTACAGGGAGAAGGTTGGCGATAGTTTGTCAGTGTAGCAAGAGTTAATGCTGCTAACTGGGGTTAATTGATTAATTAAGTGACTGAGTAAATATAAAGGGAGGGAAATAAAAAGAGGAAACTGGGTGTGGAAGGAGCTATGTGAATTAGCAGTCAATAACTTCCATGCACAAGGAAAAGATGTCTTGAGTTCTAGTTCACCAAGAAGCTTAGATCTGCATTGACATAGCGCTGAGTGAATTGCTCACATTGAGAGCAGGTGCAGACTCAATGGGCTGAATGGTCTCCCCCTACACTGTAACAATTCTGTTACTTATTTTCTTTTTAATTATGTCTTCTATCGAAGCAGGGCTGCAAGGAAAGAGCAGATCAGTGGTGGGGCCAATTTTCAGCTCTTTCAAAGAGCTAGCAC